GTTGGCGGTGTTAACGAAGGCGAAGTGTCACATAATGAAGCACACTTTTAATAATGTTGCATTGCATGCGAATCGATTTTGTAATTGAAGTATATTATATACAGTATTATATAATAATATAAATATAACGTGTCGAGTATATAAATATAATAGTTCGAAAAACGAAAAAGTATATTATAAATGTAGAAAAAATGTATTCATATAATACTGTATATTATTTTTTTTTAATTACTTTGCAACTTTTTTATTAATTGTAACATCGTCGTGGAATTTTTTGTTAATCGATTACCTCGTTATAAATGGAAGACACGTAATTTACGGAAGGTTAAATTCAAGGTTCAAATTTTAAGCTACATGTACTCACTTTTGCTTACCAAATGACGTATATTATGAACACTAAATTTACTTTAGCACTATATAAAAATTACAGTTAAGAGAAATTTTAATAATTAATTAAAATTGCGTCGTCGTATCTTGTTTAATTTGATTATACTTTGTGGTCTGTGTTGACCTCGCACTAGCCATTAATCATCATCATCATCTCAGCTTTATGAGCGATATACAAGCTGCCACAAACTGCGTGCATTCTGCAGCTCTCGAAAGCCACTCGGCGCGGTCACATTTCGTATCGTTTTGGTGGCAACGAGCTTCTCGGCTACGAGCCAGATTTTAATAGATCATATTAAGGGCGTAGCTGCATTAACTCGTCCATCTTGACTTGTACGAAAGAGCAATTTACGAAATATGGCTCGATGAAGAAATTCGATGCGACATCTTAAAACATTTTATCCTTTGTATTGTTTGATGCACATAATCGCATATTGTTAATTTTGAAATCTAATCCGTAGATTGTTAAAAATATAATTGTAAATCGTAAAAATACTTGTGTGACATTTCTGAACTCTTTATTCTCGATTAATTGTTTTTTTTTTTTTTTTACATAAATATAATGCTGGATATCTAAATCATTAAATCTTCATAAATTATATTTAATAAAACAAATTGTTTGAAATAAACTTTATATCAAACTTTATATAATTATAAACTTATAAAAAGAAAATTGAGCTCACTTTCTTCAAAAGAAAGATTAATCCACGTCTTTTTTAAAAATACGCGAAAAGATTGAGCATTTTTTTAAATGGCTGAATCTAATGAAGTAATAATACTTTTTGATCTTGCGTAAGTAGGACATTGGATGCCTCACGCTTCTGCTCCAGCGAGCGGATGATAATTATCATAATGCACTCGCGCGCACTACTTCCTGCCGCTGCTCGCTCGACGATACATAGTCGCGCAGCCTGCAACTGCAGTCTCGTCCTTGTGCATCTCGGTCATGACGTGGCGCACGAAGCGCCATTCGATCGAACGTCCAGACACCCACGTTCGAGCAGGAGAAATTTTCGTCCGTCGCCATCCAGGCATTTTTGCGCGTTCTTTTCATCCATCGAGGCTCAGACTCTGCTTATGGATTCTTCGAACAAAACTCGTAGGAGCATCAATAGTAGTTTTTAAGGTCATATATAAGTAATAAAAAAAATCCAGATATCTTCTCTATGTAAATATTACAAGTTATTATAAGTTATTATGTTACGCAATATTGGTTAATCGCAAAAAATAGTAAGGAATATAAAGCGTTTTTATTTATTCAAACTAAACCGTTGATTTTTCCATTTTGAAAATTCGCGAGAAATTTCTGCGAGAACTTTAGGATATTACTTTTTGCTAAAGTGTCCTTTTTACACACGAGAAACTAGTTTAACTGAAGCAGCTCACGCGCGCTCAGAAATGTGCTTTTCCTCGGGCTAAAGACGAGGGATCTGCCAAGTAGATGTGACTAGAACGGTGAGTGTCGGATTTATTTTGAGTTGACCCACACGGAGAATTCTTTGCAACTCAGTCGCGTCTCTCCCGCGTGTGTTTTTCTTTGATTTCCTTCCGGTTAGAAAAATGTCATCACAGTCGCGATCTATAATAATACGCTTGACTCACAGATTTCCTACGCAGTTTTGTCGCTATCAAAAGATTGCTCATATTTCGCACGTTTTCAAAAATCTCTTTAAAATAACATTCGACTGCAGGTGAATTCTCTTGTATTTGTTAGCAGCAAAAATTTACTATGACATTCCTTTAAAATGCATTGTACATTCAAATGTGCAGGATGACTCTTTAATTTATTGAAATATAATCTACGCGATAATCGTTATATCACGAGCAAAAACATAATGATGCATTTGTTACATAAAATAAGTATATTGCGCTATAATATCGTGTCTTAAGTCGGTTTACTCGTATCATCAACCTCAGGCTCGTTCTGGCGTAATTAATAGCTTCATCCTGCCGTGCAAGTTGGCGAACGCACATTAAGGCGAGGGATATAGCAGTGCTAGGTGTACACGAACGCGAAACTCTTGGTACTTGTTATCGCAAATCTACCGCCGGTCGACTTCGGGGATGCTTCGAGAAATGTTCATATGCATATCCAATAAATTGCCAACTGCCAGTCATTACCGTTGCACTTCGCTGATACGCGAAAGAGATAACCGCCTATTTTTACAAAAAGCGCGAGAAATGAAGCACAGCGAGAGCTCTGTAGTATAAAAACGCGAGTATAAGAGCAGCGAGATATTTAGTGAAATAAAATTGAAGTATTCGCATCAGAGTACTCGTTTTATTACGTCGAACAGATTTGACGCACAGAGAGAGAGAGAGAGAGAGAGCGGGGAACTAGAAAGGAATATGAGTACAACAGGATTTCCACGAATTCCAGGTCTTTGAGAACATCTGGAGTTAACTTCGCGCGGGTAGCGCAATCTCATATTCACGCTCCGTTTACCATACGTATATATATAAAGCGCTAAGCGATTCCTTTTGCACATCGCCGAGTTCTATCGCGCCGTGAGTTTAATGATACGCCGCAAATGAATTAACAGGCCGTTTTTAAATTAATCCATTAATTACCTAATTGATCGAAGAAAGGCGCTTTAATTACGATGTGGAGCGGTCTAGTATGCGCGCAACACAGTTCATGCACCCGCGCTGTTATGAGGCAGGCGAGGCAGTCGATTACCCCTCATCTCAATTTACCCGTGATTTTTTCGCCCCGTTTTTTTTTTAGCTCCGCCGTCTCGAAGCCTTTTTTTAATCTGCTGGAGAGTCCCCTCACCCCTCCGTCCTTCCCTTATCGATCCCGCAATCCGTCCGTTTGAAAATATCTCGGTGCAGGTATCTTGGCGGGATAGGTCAGGCGCTTCGGCAGGTACTATGTCGTGGGGTTGAAAATAATAGCGTGACGTCGGACACCCCGAACGGATTCTACAGCATTGCGTCATAGATTTACGTCTGCCGCGCTGATTTATCTCGGCCCGCGCGATCTCACGATATCGGTTATATCCGTCCATCGAAAAATTTTCGGGCGAACTCTCCATTAGAGGAGAAAAGCGGAGGTGGTGATATTTCGGTGGGATAATATTATATATCCCTCAGCTGAAATAATATCGAGCGTAACGGCTGCGGAGAGTTAACATTTTTTTAAACGTTACGCTCGAATCTTCGCAGAGCGCTTTTAAAAAGCTTTTAAAGATATTTCGCGAGTTCACCGCGGTACACGAGGGTCCCATTCAGCTTTGGAGGGAGGACATTTGAGAGGGGAATTAAGGTCGACAAATTTCATGAAATATTTATTTGAATTTCTTTCAACGTAATGTAAGTATTTTATTTTCTCGAGAAATATGAAAATAAATTGCAGCCGCGGAATGTAAATATCTAAAAGCTTGTATCTCCATGTCGTTAGAGCCTTGTAATTAAATTCCACTGGCGTCGAAACGGTGACGTCGTCACAACGCTTTGGACATTAATTTTTCCTATTGCATTGCGCCGCGCGCTCATTCATTGTTAATCAATGAGCTCGGACGGCGAAGCGAGTTACGTCCAACTCGGATGGAATAATAAATATCGAGAAATAGCGTTGACACGAACGGCGCAAAGTTGCCACGGCCGTCGTCGTCGTATTTTATGCAACTTCGCCGTCCCACGGGTGCTACTTATTTTCATTCAAATACCCGCGGACGCGGCGTGTATCAGCACGTCTGCATGTATGAAGGCAGCTCGCGCCACCGACAGTGTCGCTATTATACGAGCAAACAGGTGTTCGCTTATTCCGGTGACGTCGCTGTCGCATCCGTAAACCCAACATGTCCGCATTGTCGTGTCCGAGCCGACGCGAAAGAGAGTTTGATCACGTATTAATGTCCACGTTCGTAAACATATATATATATATTTATATACGTTGATACGAGGATATCCTTCATACAAATGACTCGTTTGCGCAATAATATTAATATTATATAAATTAAACCGCAATAAATTAAACCGCGACGTGCTATTTGCTGTTATAAACTTCAATATTTACGTGTTGAATTTTTTCTTTTAATATGGGCTCGCTTTCTATATCTCGTCCCTAGCGCGGATGGTGGACCTTATCATTGTTAAATTACATTGCGAGATACTGGCGCTGTAACCATATCCGGAGATTATTTTAGGACGAGGCGGGGTTAAAATCGACTATCTTTCGAAATACCAAGGACGCGACGTCGCGCGGCCCATTCGGTTACGTCGTTCTATCCTGGCCGACACGTGTTTCCTCGCGTCGAAGGTTGAGAATGGGGATACGCGGTAACGGCGAGGGTTGAAGGCACGGAACCGATACGGTTCGCGGCACTGCGACACGGCGGTGGTGCTGCGATCCGGGGGTGGCGATGGCGGTGTGGCGATGGCGGTATAGCAGCGGCGGCGGCGGCGGCGGCGGTGGATGGATGGCCGGTGACGCGGGACGGAGGCGGCGGCGAAGCCCCGCGGCGGCGGCGTCAGAGAGCCACGTCGCCCGGCTTCATCCTCTTTCGCCGGAGTCAGTCGGCTGCCAGGCGCGACGCGAGCCAGTGGTATCCCCGGCGTGTACAAGTCCACATCCAGACCTTCTTCGCTGCACTTCGGCTGCGGTCGGTCGATCCCGCGCTCTCGCCCGATCTCCTTCTCTCCCTTTGCCTCCTCTCGTTCGCGTTGCGATCGTTACTCCGAGAGCGTCCGCGAGCGAGGACCCGCGGCGGCAGGTGGAAAGCCCTCTCCCGACGCTGCTGTCCGTTCTGCTGTTTCCGACGTGTGACACGAACACGCTTCGTGTTCGACGCTCCCGCGACGCCTGTCATCGGCGAACGCGTCGTCGCCAGCGTGCGGATGCTGCGCGGCGAAATAGGCAGCGTCCGAATAGCAATCGCGAGGATACGTTGACGTTGCACGAGACCGGGATACGCGTTGACGTTGCGAGCGTGTATAGGGGAACTGTGCCGCGATATCGAGAAAGGACTTCTCACGGGAGTGCGAAACGAGACATTGCGCTCACTGTGAAAGATCTAAATGATAATCGCATCTCGAATGCATTACGTATCGAACGACTGAGATAAATCGAAAAAGCGTGCTCCGAGACTGTGTCTCGATTGTGCTCCGATAACGAAATGCCTGAGATGAGTCAGTGTGAACGTTTTGTGACTGGAAAATCTAAATAACGGCCGTAATCTGAAACAAAATTTATTATTCTAATCAAGGAGCTTAGATTAGATGGATATTTAACATTCCAACGAAAATCCACTTCAAGATAAGCCAGATCAAAACGGTCGAGACAGCAAGTTCGTAACTGCGAGAGTAGGATTGAAGCGATATCGGGATAAGTAGTTAGATTAAGACGTCTAATCTTCGAAACGAATCAAGACGGATAACGGCCAATCTGCGATATCCATCCCGAGACAAGACAAATTGGCGGTGCGGATCAGTTGTGTGCGGATAGCGAGTTCAAGCTGACGATCACGCAGGTTTAATAGGATAACGCGCTTAAGCAGCTTGGGATCGCGAGGGATCAACCGGCTTAATTTTTGGAGCGAATTCGCGACGGCGTGTTGGAGCAGGGAACGCGCATCCAGAGACGAAAAATAAATAAGCGCGAGCTCCGGAGACTTCGATAAACTGCAGCGGCAGCGAAACGAGCGCCGCGATTATTGCAGTACAAATTCGAGAATCGAGACGTAGATAGCCAGATAGCGCGAGACAACGAGCTGTCGCTACCGCGTGTCCTCATAGAGTCGTATTCAACACGAAACGAGACGAGTCTCTCGGCGACGCGCGATCAGCCGGTCGTTGCACTTCGCCTGCTCGCTCCGGTAAATCTCCTACAAACGCCTCCTCGCGATATACCGTTACCACCACAACACACACCGGATCGGACGAGGCCTCCGCCTCTCGTGTATACGTGCGCGCGTGAAGAGGCCTGCTCCATACCGACCAGTACGAACCGGATACCCAATTCCGCTCTTCGAACGTCGAACGAGGACGCGCTCTCCGTGCGAGCTTGTATTTACTTTTTGGTAAGAAGTTACGAAATCGGAATTTAGGAGGAGCCTAAACGCGCCGAGCCAGCTGTCAAAAGGAATGCTCACGAGGCGGCATTAAATTGTACAAAGCCGCCGACAGTTCCCCTGGGCCATCGCGACAAGACGACGGCGATAAGCCGAGCGGACATCGAGTGACAGGAAGGAGCGGGTGATTTCAGTCCCCCCCCCCCCCTCAGAGACATCCGGTAAACTAACTAGTAACTTGAACGGAGTGAAAAAGTGCCGATTGGGAGGAGGGTAGCCGGGCGATACACGGGAAGATTTCTGCCGCCGCTATGCGCACACTGACCGAAGCGATGAAGCATCGCGCGATCAGCTGACTAGTCGAGTTGTTCGGCGGCCGCACCGCTGATAAGGATAATACTCGGGACAGGCATTCGCAGCGACGCCCGCCGCCCACTTGCTCTGTCATGACATTTGGCACGCCGTTCCACACCGAGAAATCGCAATTGGCCAGCGAGAATTCCGCTCGGTATGTATATATGCTCGCATTCATACGACGACGCCCCCGTGCCGTTCGATCCGATTGCCGAAGCGAATCTCGGTCCAAAATAGCTCCGAATCGAAATCGAGAATCTTCTGCTTTGACGACTGATTTGCGTTGTCGTGGAAACGTCAAAACCTACGTCTTTCATTCTCTTTTGATCTTTAATGTGTCGCATCTTGTTACTTTATTGATCTTTTGAACTACAACCTTTTCTACGATACGCCCAATTATATGCTAGACAAATAGGAATAAAAAATTATAGGAAAATATAGGAAGTGTGCAAAAATATCATCTTTGATAAAAGTTGCAATTTTTGTAGAGAATTTTTATCTTACGATAAAAATTGCGTATGGTATTGTTAGAATGGAGCAGCGACTCACAAAGAATGACAGTTGCATGATGCAGATAATTGTTGGTGTTTACGTAACTTGGGCTTTCTCCCTTCTATTGTATATCGCGCAAAAGAAAACGTTTATCTTTGCTTTTTGTCAGCATGAGGTTCACTCATTGAAAGGAATACACACTTATACTAAGTCATTTTCTTTCAATTTTTTGTTTACACGAAGCTCTATTTTATTTTAAGATAAAATCAACACGCGAAAATCCTGTGAATATTACATTTTATTTTGACAATTTAAACGAATAATAGAATTTGTTTAACTTTATGACAATTTATTGTGAAATTATAATTCCTCCGTAAGTTTATGCAACTAATTTATTTATGCAATAAATTATGCAAATAATTAAGGTGAATAATTCACGAGTAAAAGTAGTCGGTTTTTTATATTAAAAAATGTTATTGGTCGAAATTACCTATATTATTTTTCTCAGTGTATTCTGCAGATCTAATTTTTGTCGTCACGTTATTATTTTCCCGAGCGATCCCCGAAGAATAGCGAACGCAAAAACATGCGCTTTGTCGCGAATTCGTCCTTCGTGTGCGGAACGTGACTAGTATCTCGATACTTTCTGCACGAACGACGCACGTGGTCGTGTGTGTGCACGTGCGAATTCACGCGAGAAGGAGGAAAAAGATCGGCGATTGCGACGCACGTATGTGTTACGAGCGGTGAGTAAGAAAAGAAGCGAACGCACGAGGAAGAATGCGAATGAGAAACACACGCGCAATTTTCCCCTCCGTCGACACTATTAACGCTCTTTGTTGGCCGCGCCTCGATATATAGTACGCCGCTGCTTTTTCGCGGTTACGTAAAACTTGCCCGCGAGAGGGTCTCCGCGAGGGAACGATAAGTTTATTCACAAAGGAGAGGATTAACTGGACCGCCATATAAATTTCCCGGTTCGCCTCGGCCATATTTTCCGTTAACGCTTAAGTGATTTATCACTCGCGCGAAGGCTGCGCGAAAACTCCGCCAGGGGATATTTAAACCATTGTCGTTTGTAGAGCGCAATGAATATTCTTACGGAGATTGTGAAATAATATTCATTTCTGTCCGTATTTAAGATTCGTTTACGCGGAATTTAAATATTCAAATAACTTAGATGTCAAAAAATAATACAGGGGCTTAGATCGATACGAATAAATTTAAAAAAACTCGTACAATGCGCTAATTTGTTTATTGCAAGTCATACGTCAGTTGTAACACAGCCGCTACATAGAAATAGCCAGCGTAAATATTTCTCGGTATAAGAAATTATTGCAGACATGTTGCCAATTTCTTCTGCGTGATTTCGTTTAAAGAAATCGCGAGATCAAATCATTCTCGCCGATAGATCCGCTGAATGCCGTCGAATCGAGGCTGATCGGTGAGCTAGAAAAATCCGGCAATACCGCGGTAGTGGAAAGGAGGCAAGGTCGCACAGTGGGGTGGATTGCTGTGACCTTATTATCTACCGGCACAGCCCGTACAACGGGATCCAAGCCAGAAGATACACTATGAACCGTGTCTTGTATTAGAGGCGTAATATTGAAGTTATCCAGATACAGCATCCGAGCCGTTTTTATTTAGTCGTAGAAGAAGTTATACAGATACGAAGATACATTCGCAGAAGCTGACACAATTTATGAGTTTATTACGCAGCATCCATTATTATCAAATTTTAAAGAAAAATGCACTGTATATATATATATATATATATATATATATATACATATATACACACAGTATATATATGTATATATATATATGCACTGTATATATACAAATAACTTATCTATATATATATATATATATATATATATATATATATATATAGATAAGTTATTTGTAAAGTAACCCAACAAGTTTTTACATGAGAATTTATGTGAGATTGGTAAAAGAAGTTCTAATGAAAAGTCTCTTTTTGAACACTTTAAAATTCGTTATCGATAATTTGTAATAAAGAATCGTTTCAGAACAAAAAAATTTGTTATTAGTCCAACTAACAGATATCTGTTCTCATGAAAGAAATGAGACGATAGTTATTACACTGATATGAATAGAACGTAATGAACTATATATAATTCTTTTAAAACGTTTTACTGTGTAAAGTTCAAGATTTTTAGGTTTTATAAATGCTTTTTTCATCTATTCAAATATATCACATATACCGCAATATATTATGGAAAATCGGCTGTTTTAGAATCACGTTTTATGAGTTTCATCTCAGATGAATACATTTATTCATCTGAGATTTATTTTATTTCGGCTGCAATCAGTTAGTGAAATACGCGGCGAAAACAGCCGTTTTTTCCTCAAAGATTTATAATAAGGTGTTACATAAATTTCGCGGATCCGCGTTGTCTTCTTATGAGCGGAGAGGGGAAAAAAAGGTCGCATACTCGTTGCGCTGGGCCCCGGTTATGGTCATTGCGCCAATTCAGCCCGACATCCGTCCACGTCATGCGCTCGCGTGTGGACAGGCACTTCGCTTCTCGACTAAATACTCCCGTTAGGGCCACGTTTTCATGTCGCTCTTTGCGGAGATAAAGAGGTCGTTCATGTCATGTCGAGAACTGAGCGTTTTGCATTGCCTTTTGAAATCTCGCCCGAGCGCCGAAGCTCGAAGAGATCTAAAAATTCAATAGGCAACCGAAGACATTTTTACTTGTCCAAGTACAAAAAGGTATATGTATTATTCAATGTCTTTGTCTCGGATAGTATCGGCACCGCGTGCGCGATATTGGACGTGACGGTATCGTGGGGAAAATTTTTGGGATATATTAGATCCACGAAAAATTGACGGGGACGAATGGGATTGTCAAGTTACGCATTCGTTATTATAGAAGGATATAAAATAGGATATGAAAAGACATAGAAGGAAGTTTTGGAGGAATGCCCACGGTTACGTCGGTTCGTAAACGTAATTCCTCCGTTATCAAATAGCATCTAGCTCGCGAAAGTTCGGACTTTCATAAATTACAAAGTCGTTTGGCGCAAAGAGCCTCTCCGCGTAAGCGCGATTCCTGATTATGGCCACGTGAATTTTGATATACGTACATTTGATAACTCCTTCGTGTAGTCGTGTGTTTTAATTAATAACTATCTAATTATTTCTCTGCTAATTAAACGAAAATTTAATTGAGTGATACGTAACGTAAATGTTAAATCGTTTCCTAATGATTAAATCATTATCGTTGCTCAATCGTGATAATGAAAGCGCGATCGATAAAAGTGGCTCAGCTTTATATACGTATTTATTTCATATGAGCTAAATAAACAAAGATACATTATACAGAGATACAAAATAACAAAGGGATCGATATGTACAATACATGCGTTGCGAATTAGCGGCAAAAACGGTCGGTATTGTTGCGCCGCCGTTGTTGCGTTTGCCGCTGCACTGCCAAGTTTCCCATTGTGGCAGGACGGTGTATACATACCGCACCCGCGGAATTAAAGGGTCAAACTGCCACAGACCGCTGTGCGTGTTCAGGAAAGCAGTAATGACCGCATATACGGGCGCACAATGGGCGCGCGTGTTTTCGTTCCGCGAAAAGCGTTAATTCGCATTATTTTATTGACTCATGCACATGCACCGGCGGCATTGTTCGCGCTCTCGCTTCGCGGCGCGAGAGGGACAGTGACACGTCACAGGACGTGCACGTGACGACGACAACGACGACGACGACGCGGACGGCGCTGGAGGTTGCAGTCAAGGCTGTAGAAAGGCTGCACACTGCCGGTTGCATCTCGGGCGAGCGTATACCGAGCGGTCGTCGAACCCGCTGCGCGCGTTCGTCGTTGGTTTGCGCAAGGTCGTTTTACTTAGGTTCGTCTTGGTCGTCGACCAAGCCGACGAGACGCGCGCGGCTACGCGACTAAACGCGCCTACGGCGCGGCGTGAGAGCGATGATGAGTCGAATAAGGTGCGACCGGAGGTGCCCGAATGTAAATCATACACAGTGGGAATCGCGCGCTAAGCCTCTGACTGCTAAGCCAGTCCCCGTTGATTAATTCGAAGTCGATTTTTCTCTGTGTTCTCCTGTATGTTGGCAGCGCATGCTGCATAATTAGGACCGTTAATCACTTGAACTATTAGGATCCGAAGCGCGATCGTGCGTGCAACCGGTGACGTTCCTGTGGAAAGAAATATAACTCTCGAATATAATGTATCTCAAAAATTGAGCTACCAGGAAATAAATATAAAATTTACATTTAAAAAATCGTAAAGAGCAATTAAGATATTAATCTGAGACTTCGTTATGAAGATATAGTATAATATTAAAGATTGGATATTGTTACGATAAAATATCTTCTTCGACTGCTTTCGTTAAGGAAGAAGGAACTTTAAATTGGTTAAACAGGGTGTCATTAAGCGTTGCTTGCGTAGTTGTGGAATGAGTTTATAAGTATGCTGTATGAAAGATGAAATAAAATCAACAAACATTGAAAGTCATTTCTGTCGAATGTAAATAGCGCTAATTCGAGTTTAGCTAATTTTCTCACGCGGGGAAAATTACAATCTTTGAAAGGGTGAGATGCATGGATAAGCATTATTGCGAAAGTTCGATAAGTTTGTTCATTACTGCTGTTTAAATACAT